AAAAAATATAACTAGAAAAATTTAAAACACGTTGGACCTAGTGGGGATCGAAGCCACGACCCGGTGATTATTAGCCAATCATTGCTACCATTAGACCAACGAGGCCATCAGTCTCCTTAGTTTATTCTGTCACGTGGCAAAAATATAGTCTTCTTTAACGCTACATTCAAGAGTGAAAGACACTTTCAATTCGGACGCGAAGGTTCGCTACATGTCGCGGTCAACCGAACTTAAAAGCTTTTTAATATTTATGATAAGAAAGCTATTCAAATCTATACTAATATATAAAGCATTTTGAATGAATGAATTTGCATTATGAATTACTGGTTCGAATTTAATTGAATTTTTTTTGTTGGTTAGAGCATTTATCGAGAAAGGTGCGAAGAAACAGTGTGAAATGTGGAAAATTATTAATCTTAGAGGGTTTCCAGTCCGTACGCTGCCAAAACTGTTCAAGATACCCAAATACATTTATGAAAGAATGATTCCTCTTTAAAGGATCTAAAAATATGTCCGCAACATTATATGTCTCTATTTTATGATTAACTTGGAAGAACAATGGGACCTGAACGACGCGAATCATGAGCGACTGTACGCGAACGATATCGTTCGCTGTCGGGTGATAGCTTAAATTTATAAAGATGAAGACTAGGAGAAAAACAAACTTGGATGCCCAAAATAACTATTTTACGCGGACAAAGTCGCTGGCGTAGCTAGTTTACAACAAGAGAGCTTCCATTCGATTCAAATATACAAGTGCATTCGTGCAAATGAATCCTATATCTGTTAAAACCTGTCCATTTCGTATCCGGCTCTCAATAACTCATCCAGTTGCGTCACACGAAGACAAATATAAACGGAACCCAATCTTCATTACGGTATGATATTTTTATAATATTATTACCGCGGTGACGATGCCAAATATTGCTGGCTTTAAAATAAATAGTGTGGCTAAAAAAATATAAACTAGATGTACTATTTTAATAATAGACGAGATAGAAATCTAGATATATAATCTAATAAATAAAATTAACACAAGATTAACATCGTCCTAACGATTCGTTTCAATTTTCTCTCTTATAATATCTGCTTTTTGGTAAAAAAAAACAATATGTAATTTAAAAGCGCTAGCGATTTTAACATATGATCATAACCAAATCGATTTTGCATTAGGATTGTTATACACAATAATCTTTTCCAAAATTTTCGGATAATTCATATTTTTTATTGTACATACGTTTTTTTTGACCGCCTCTGTAGCCTAATGGTTAAACGGGTCGAATCCCAGAAAAAAAAGCTGTTTCGGTCAGGTAGGGCATAGAAGTCTGATCAACTACTTGCCCGTTAAAGAACGGATCAGTGAAACGGACACATAAATGTGTTCGCCCCATGCCCCACGAGGGTGAAACGAATTTTCACCTTTCACCGTACGTTTTTTTACCAATCACGATCACAAATTATATGTTAATGTTTCTCTATTTTTGTCTACGCTGAGAATTCGAAATGAACGAATGAAAAAGAAATGTCAATTGACATACCACACATTTTGTGTGTCTGTCTGTCATTATAAAGATTGGTTCAAAAATTGGTTCATCAATTGTTATACAAGGCGCAAACCTTGAACCAGTCAAAATATCTGGTATTATTTGTAATAGGTAAACGATTTATTCTTTTATTATATGTGTCGAGTTTATTGGCATTGTTTAAAAAACTGGAGGTTGTCGGATCTTGTACTGTATTGTGTAGCTGTAGAACTTTAAAAGGGTTGATGATTTAAACAAAGGCAATATAATTGTGATTTAATCGAATATTTAATTCGTTTCAGCACTTCCAAAGTAATTAACAGCCGGCATTAGTGGTGATAATACTATTAATGCGAACCAATATCCGTCGTGGAATAGTGCTAAACTAGAATCAATATCGAATGTTGCACAACATTTAATACAAATGCAATGCTTGCAGAGTTTAGAGAATATCTACTTCTATATATTGTTCATAAATTCCATCTGCATGGAAATAGTAAAACAAGGATCCACTTTAAACTATCTCAGCTAAATTTATATATTTACTTCGTTGCATAGATCTGAAACCTGATCAAGGTGTACGCTGGCTTCTAATAGACTAGGCACACTTTTGAAGTCAAGCAGTGGACACAATGGAAGTTCAGGGTCGTGTCAGCTAATTTTTGGAGCTCAAAGTTTGGATATATAAAACCGTATCTCGGAGAGCAAGCTTAGCCGTTCAGGCTATCATTACTAATTTACTAACGGCAGTTGTTAACATCCACAAAGCCGCAGTGGAACAGCGTTACTTAAACCCTTTGGGAGAGAAGACATATATACAAAAAGTATCTCTGGAGCGACAGTAGAATAAATTACTGTTAAAAATCGAAAATAAATTGAAAAAAAAAAATGTCATGACTCGGGCGGCACTATAACCAGCGTCATCAGCGTACCGTGCTGTTGTTCTAACTCGGTAGCTCGATTGGTTAAAGTAACAGCACCGAACGTTGACGATGCCGGTTCAAGTCCTGCCCGAGTCGTAACATTTTTTAAATTTTAATTTTATAAAATAAATTCAATTACAATTAATCAAATATTAAAGTAGAATAAATTTCATTATATATTGAAAGAAATCATTAATTCCTAATAAATAATAATGTTTCAGCTGTATTTTTCAACGCGTTTGTTCAGTGGGTTTAGTTCTCCAACGCACTGTATTAATATTTTTTATAGTGTCTCCGGATTATTTCCGTCAATGTTAATATAGACAAGGAAGTCTGTGTAGACTTTGTGACGACAACGCGATATTATTTTTAAAAGACTCTTGAACGCGTGTGATGTATGTTGTAAAATTTAAAAAAAAAGCGCAACAAATACCAAGGAGGGGTTATTTTATTTAAAGTCAATTTTGATAGTAGTTAAAAATATCTTCGTCTATAAATATTGAAAAAATATTACATACTCTCTATAGTTTACGCGAGTATACATTTAAATAAAACGGTTTAAAACGCGATATATATTAGTTTAACTTTTTTGAAAATTATTTTAAGGACAAAATCACAATCCAAAACATCAGGCTACGGCCCGACATTTTGGAGGCTTTGTCATGGCCACGGGCAGACTGAAATTTGAAAAGCATCCGACAAAATAATTTTCAGATAAGTTTGACTAATATATATCGCGTTTTCAACCGTTAAATTGTTTTATTTAAAATATTACATATTCATATCTTATCTTGACCGTTTCTTTAGCCAAATGGTTAAACGTATTGCCTAGCATTGGGTTAAGCGCGAGAAGTCCTGGGTTCGAATCCTAGAGAAACATAATATTGTTTCGGTCGGGCAGGGCACAGAAGTCCGATCAACTACTTGCCCCTTAAAAGAATCGATCAATGAAACGGACACAGAAATGTGTTCGCTCCATGCCAATAAAAAATAAAAATAAAATAGTCCTGTCTGTAATTTATTCAAGTTATACACAATTGAAACACTTGTTTTTAGGGTTTTAAACGCAACATATGCGATAGGCGTCGCTAGCGTAGCAAATTTGTCTTCGACGTTGATATTCAAATAAACGAATATGTTTCGCGTTTAAAACAGTCCAAGCGTTTTATTTAATTAATTAATGAAGTTACGGGTAATGTTATTTAGTAAAACGAATTTATGAATGTACAAGAATAATAACCTCTTTTTATCTGAAAGCCGGTTGCGCTAAAAGCGACGCGACGATGCGAAAACTTCGTGTCACAGACTTAATATCCTTGTTACTGGTGAAATGCAAATAAATATGCAAATCGCGAGGACGAAGGAATGGTTGGGTGTATTCGGGTGTGTTCGGGGATCCCGAACCAGATTTAAGATATCCCCACGGGCGCTAGCGGAAAAACCAACACTGTGATAATCTTATAAATTCTTAATTCCTCTGTACGACCCTTTTATTCTTATTCGACGTCGACGGAGCCGAAGCGAAGAGTAATGCTTTTGTCATGGAGGTTGTGTATAAAGGTTGAACAACAGCCTTTGAACTTCTAAGCCGATTTTAATGAACGCTGAGTCAAACGATACGTTCTAATGGCGTGTGAGAATTTGTTATATAGCTTTGAATGAAATTCAGGAAGGTCTTAAATAAAACGATTTTAATGGTTTAAAACGTGATATATATATTCATTTACTTAATTATTTAAACTACGACAATGCATTTGAAAGCCTGTAAATGTTTTCAAGGTTGTAAAGTGCACTGTCAAATAAGTTTCAGACGTATGTAAAGCAAAAACTAGTTTATTATTATATATTAGTTAAACTTATTTGAAAATGATTTTTAACTTCGGCCCGACGTTTAGGATGCTTTGCAGCAGCCGTGGTCACGGGGAGACGTGTATAGTTTTATAAACTTTACTTGTTATTAGTAACAGCGCTCGTATCAAATACGAAAGTGACTCTCTATATTAAAAGACGCTTATATCGAGGAACCTAATCTTGGAAGATGGATGATCGGTATTTACTGGCTCGCTCGTCTAACGGGTAGCAATGTATATAACCAACGGATAGGCGGTTCGCTTGCTACCACGTCTGTGTTTTAATACCAAAGAAAATGGTGGTAGGAATATTATTCCACCATTTCTAAAAAACAATGATTACGAACCACCGTCCACAGTGGAAGAACCTGTAAGGTCGTGTTTGGGTTTTCGCCCTTGGATATCTGAATCGTACCTTTACGTAAGTTGATCATATACGCGCTAAATAATAAATACTTTTTTACTAGACCATGGCGGAAGAAACATTGATATTGTAATTTGTCGTATGTTATTGATTTCTAATTTATATTAAGTTACTCGAGCAATACACATTTTAATCTAATAAAGCTATTAACAGTTTAAAACGCGAAATATATCACAAACTTCAGGTCGTAGTTAAAGTAAATTATAAATTAGTTTACTTATATATTTCTCGTTTTTAACCGTTAAAAGTGAAATTTTTAGATATTTCTAAACGGCCCAGTTCAGAAACAAAAGCCCACCAGATGCTTAACTGACATGTGGAGTTTCAACATTTTTGTATAGCCTTTTTGACGTCCTCGTAGATTTTGCGTTCCGTTCAGTATTTCTCGTTGTATTAGTTCATTGTTACGTTTGTCTATTATACATCCAGCTTTGTACAAATGCGCCCATTGTACATCATCAAGCTCTTTAACAGTTCCCACAGCTGGGACGAAGCGGCCCATGATGTTATACATTTTATAATATTACGCAGGCATATGGATTTTGGTAGTTGACACATGTCAAATGTCTTGTTCTAGAACAAGCCGTTTTTCTTGCGAGGTTCTCCCTTTGGGAGATCAAACTTTTGACTGTGTTATTGAAAAATTGTAACTGTCACAATTACACTACGTTTAATACCAGGGCTTCTATCTAATTGCTTATACATGATGTTTCAAAGACTTGTCAGTTTCAACAGTAGAAGGCTAAGTTAACTAGAAAATCTAGAACTTAGAATTCAAGACAAACAGAAGTTTTATTAATAAGAAGCCAAGGCAAAACTTCGTGAGTACTTGGGGCTTCAATTAAAACTCTGTTAATAGATCTTCTACCGCTTTCAACGTTTTTAGGGTTGCATACGATTAAACTCAATCTTCTCTACCTATTAATGACCCAGTTGGGCCTTCTTTCAATAACCCACCACGTTTATCGTTCGAAACACATAATAACATCTTTTACCTAGAATTGCAATTTACTATTCGGGATTCAAACCTCGTGAACTTCACATTATTTTATCTTATTCGCCTTTACTTAAAATCTTCCTTTTATTTTCATAACATGGAACATGGAACATGGAACACACTCCCTTTTTATGTTTAGTACTCGCGTAAACTACAGACAATACTTAATATGAAAGAGTTAATTAATAAGTTCGATTCCCGGGAAGTTAAAATACTTTCGGTTGAGGACACAAAAGATCAACATCTCTTTAAAATGGACCAGCGAAATAGACACACACACGAGATAGGTCACGGGCGAAAACTAGTTAATAATTTTGTTTGGCAACTAACGAACAGAAATTGCTAATGCACGTTTCATACAAAGTTTTAATCTGCTTGTGATTTCGTGAGAGGTTTTATGGATATTAAAAATTTATATCAAACACACAGACATACATAACTTACCATAGACTGGAATCCACACCATTAAAGAAAAACTAATAAAAAAAATGGACCAGGATCTTTAAATTTAGATAGAATGATGCAATATTAAATAGGCTTTTGACAAAAGAGAAAATACAACTAGTAAACTTAGATTTACAAGTTGTATAGATTACAAATTTTAGTAATATATATGAAAGGTGTATATGAAATCCCGTTTCCCCCTCATGGGGCATGGGGCGAACACATTTCTGTGTCCGTTTCACTGATCCGTTCTTTTACAGGCAAGTAGTTGATCAGACTTCTGTGCCTAGCCTGATCGAAACAATTTTTTTTTTGCCTGGGATTCTAACCCAGGACCTCTAGCACTTAAGGCACCGCATTTAAAATACGTTTAACCGTTTGGCTACCTCTGTAGCCAAACTGTTGAGTATATAAAAGGTAATAAATATGATTTATTCAAAGCAAACGACCTGACAAATCAACACATACGTTTTGAAATAGACATTAAGGATTGGGGATCTCCCCAATAATACTAATACTAGCGATGCCTCTACAAACCAATATCAATTCGCTATAAAAGCAAACATTTGAACTCACTATTTCGCCCTTTCGAATTATGTTCAAGATCCACGGGGAAATATAGGGGAAAACATGCTCATTCAAGTGGGAAAACAAGATATTAAACCACACGTTGGTTCCAGCTGACGTCAAAACTTTGACAAAACGAAAGCGGTGGATGTGGCTAGCTGCTATACGCAACAAAATTTTCCAAAACAATGATACCTCGTGTGGTTCGAAACTTATATCTAATTTTATGAAGCTGTTGGATTGTTTGGATGAACGTGCTAAGCCCTGAAAACTGCTCGCTGGATTATTTTAATTGCTATAGTTTATTGACAAAATTAATCAATTTAATACAGCACACAAATTTACCACACGTATGTACTATGTACATACAAAACAACCAAGCATAACAGACGTCATTAATAATATGGACTTATAGAAGTAACTTTAGATATAAAAGAATCTATTGACTCTATTTCCTTACGGCTTTGTATTAGCGATGAATGGTTAATTACGTTCGTAGGTTCTAACTCCACTAAGCCCAATATTGTTAGTCGTATAATTTTTCTGAAACATGTGTCCAACATGGAAATCTCGGAATTAATTGGGAGATGGGCGTATAACATCCCGTCCGAGTTACGCATAATCGACCAGAAACAAAAAAATCGTGAAGTTAACTCGTGTTTTGTTTCAGCCCGTTGACAAGGCGTTTAGTTTAGATATTATATTACTAGGACATTTCAGCTCTACCAAGCTCTTTGTTTGAACCCTTTACTCGTCTGTCCCCATCTATCATAAAAATTCTATGTAGACACATATTCTAGTAGCAAATACATTGCTGAACTCGAATAATGATATGTCTTGGTAATCACATCTCTTAAATCGCGTTATTGAAGAAGATGCTGAAATTTCAGAGGTGGTTTTATAAAGACGGACCTCCAATAAAAACAGATCTGCTATTTGAAAATTGGACCTCGTCCTCTTTAGCAGATAGAGATACCACTCTACCAACAGAGCGTCTTCTTGTGTTAAAGTTCCTTATTTTATAACTTCTTGTGTTAAAGTTATAAGTATTCACAAAGCTATTAAGTTACTTTGCAATTAATTAAATTTCTAGACTGGTCTACCTTCGGGGATACCGTTTGTTGTCTCAGGACTAATTGCAAGGACGAATGTCGTTTATGAGAAAGTGTAGAGCTCTTCGGCGCGTGATTAGTACTTAAGTAGATTAAGATTACTTTAAAGCCCCCCACCACCCAGATTTTTGTTTTTTACTGATGGAGTTTAGATTGGATCATTGTTTTTAGGGGAGGGGAAGATAGATAAACGTGAGTTCATTCAATTTGAAGGTAAAGTACCAAAGTCATATAACATCTCATCATCAAAACTGAAAAGGAAACGTGATTAAACTTCACGGTATTTTATCTGTGGATGGTGAGTTGTAACCCGGACGAAATTTCGATATTTCTACCAACCCAACAAACAATGTCCAGATTTCCAGACAAAGTGCAAGTATTTTAAACCGATTTTTGAAATTCACTTCGAATAAAGCAATTAGTATTTTGATTTAGTTAAATAGGAATGATTGAATACATATGTAAAATAGTCTTAAAGAAAGTGCTAAGTTGAACAATAACTTATATTCATAAAATCAATTTTTCTAAAAAATTATGTAGTATACAGCGTTCTTACAAATTTTCATTTACTAGTAGTTCGTAAGCCTGTACTTCGGTATATTAAAAAGTAACTTTGATATATTTTCAATATAATATAGTATGTACCGATTAGGATATTCTTCAAATAACATTATTATTTAATAGCTTTAACATATTTGCTTACACTGTGTAGTTAGAAAAAAAAATTTCTAGTAAAATTGTTAAAACATTAACTTGGCACCGCATTTAAAATTGTAGTGTAGATTTTTTATTAAATCGGCAATTCGATTTAATTAAATCAAACAGGTGTTTCGTGTGAAGTAAATTCAGTGTTTTTTAGTTTATATTTTTAAAATATTTAATTTTGGTTAATTTATTTTTATATCAACTTAAGTTTATACAATGACCGATTCTGGAACTAAATAATTGTGTGGTGTGTTGCATTGCGTTAAGCGCGAGAGGGTGTTTCCCCGGTAATCGAACCTAGAATCTCGGGGAAACAGACAGGGCTCAGAAGTCTGATCAACTTTTTGCCTTAAAAAACCGATCAGTGAAACGGACACAGAAATATGTTCGCGCTACGCCCCACGAGTAATAAATAACTCATCAATCCTGTATTTTGATGAGAGCCCAAAAAGATCTATCGTTGGCGTAACAGGTTATCCAATTAGTAAAGAAATTGTAAGTTTTGGCAAGGCTTTCGGCCCAAACAAGCAAAAACATCAACGTTTGATGGCGTAACCATTATAGCAACATGTGGTACACTAGATTCATGCGAATTATGTACTTGGACTTAGTTTGTTTTTTTAGTATTAAAATAAGATTCATAAATAGATAGAGATAATATATAAAACTGGACTGTTTGTTTTGTTTTTTTTTTTGTTTGTTTGATCGCGCTAATTTCAGAAATTACTGGTTCGAATTGAAACATTATTTTTTAATTTCAATTAAAACTTATCGAGGAAGGTTATAGATTATAAAACATCGCGCTATATATAATAAGATCGAAAAAACAGTGGGAAGTATGAAAAAGGCGGAGAAATTATTCATATACGGTAAAATAAAAGTAATTATTAATATCAAAACGGTTTAAGATACCCAGAAAATAGGTATAAAATAATAATACCTTTGAAACAACGGGACGCGACCAACGTCGTGGGTAAAAGCTCAAATCTATACAGTTGAATAGAAGGTTTGCAAAAACAAATTTAGTGCTCAAATTAACTATTCTACGCGGACGCAGTCGCTGACACATTTATTTTATACTGTATTAAAAGATGACTTATCAAAAATCATACTGAAATAATTATTATTATTTTAAGTTTAACGCAACTGTGTGTTGGAGTGAAGTTATATTTTTCTTAAAATGTTTCATAATTGTCATATTTTCGGACTTTAAATTTGATGAAAAAAGAAATATTCTCAGTAGAAAAAGTGATGTCCAATACAAAGGTCAACTATAGTCTTGTATCTTTAAAATAGCATGACGTTATTAATAAAAAATCGATTATACATTTTTTTTTAATTTAAAGTTGAAACTACAACGCGCGAGCACCTCTCGCGTTTTTAGTTTGAAAAAATTCGACGATGTGTAGGACTCGGTAGCTCAATAGGCTAGAGCAACATCAGTTAAAGTCGGTTTAAGGTTTAAGTCCTGCCCGAGGATTTTTATTCAATTCATAATCGATTTGTGAAACATATTAAAGTTGTCAAACATTATTGTTCATTTTGGTATTCCAATAAACATCCCTTATATACCATTTATTTATAATTGATCACTTTGATCACTCGACTTTCTCCACTCCACTTGAAAAGAGCAATGTACTTAACTCACTAGCAATTACCTGCCTCCGTGCAAGATCGTTATTAAACTAA